TGCTGCTTGGCCTGCTGTGTTCATCCAGCTCTACACCTTGTTATCTAAAACTAACCTATAAACCGATTTTTCTCTGAATGCTTGTGTGATGTGAGAATTCATCATACTGAAACTTACAGATTTTAGTGCTGTAGTAAAGTGGCCTGGAAATGGTGGGTCTTGCTATTTGTATTAAGTAGCAGGGTTGTAGAAGAGATGGACAGATGAATAGATAAGAAGAGGAGGAACTCCCTGAAAATTATTGCAGTTGTCAACTGTTCTTTTGATTTTCTATATCTTGTTTTGAGTTATTTCAAAGCAAAATTGCAAAAAAAAAACATAAAATTACATCTTTCAAGATCTGACATACAAAGTTGAGATAGTATTTTACTTGTGGTACCTCTGGACAGTTCGGTTAAAGGGTCTTTATACAAAAGGCAAACCTGCCACCTAAAGGACCCAATGCATAGCTCCAGCATTGTTTTTTTTTGTTCAAATTTCAGGTCCGCCGATTTTCTTCTCATCTCCAAGAAGAAAATGAATGTAGTTTCCCGAAGGCAGCTGGAAATTATGGTACGATTGCGCCAGTCAACACAACAATTGGCGTTTTATGAAACACATTCTACAAACGATCAATAAAATTAGGCCATTCCACCCATCCAAGCTCAAGACTAGGATGAACTTGTGCACTGGTGATAAAGTACTAGCCCCACCCGTCTTCGGTCCATTCAAAATAATGAGCACAGTACAATAAAAAGGACGAGTGGAACTCGGCCTACAGATTACCAATTCACCTTTTGTTTCCTGATATCAGATCGTGGGAAGAGAACAGTAACAACAGTTAGTCTCCCCACCCCCACAACCCCTTTCCCTTTCCCTTCCCCTTCCCCTTCCCCTTAAACGCAGCTTTAATTCACTCTGTTTTCCGTCCATGCTCACTTGCAACTGATACCTGCTTTTTGTAAGGTGCAGGATACGATACGATACGATACGATACAAAACAAAACCCTCTTACCTTCCTGAATTACTTGGATTGCACTCACCCCTTGATTCCCTTCGCTCGCACTGATTGCAAGTCTGCGCAGTCTCTGCTTGGTAGTCCAGTAAAAAAAGAGGAACTCACCACTGACTGGCACTGGCATCCACCAGTAAAACCCTTCGCAGCAAATCCCTGGCCACTGAAATCAACTGGAAAGTGAAAAGGGAGAGAGAAGGAAATTGTTTTTAAAAAGCGGTGGAAAAATGTCAAGAAAACAGTTATAATACATCAGGTTTTCTTTTGAAATACTAGAGTGGAAAGGTATTTTTTTGTGAGAGGGTAAGGAGGTTAAACGGTGGAATAAATCTATCAATCCTACGTATTATGGGTTATCGGTTAAAGTTATTAATAAGAGGGAAATTACTCCAACTGTAAATACCTGTTTTCTTTCAACTAATACGGACAGGAACCTTTAGACCTTGGGTTCAATCAATTACATTTAAAATAGACCAGTTCCGCTCGAGTTAAGTATGACTTATCTTCCCGGAATTCTTTTCCGGAAATATCGCGTAAGGAACCCCGAGAGAGAAATAAAAACAGGGAAATAAAATGTTTTCATTTGAACATCCTTGGTTTATGCGTGTGAATTCCACTGTTTTTCAGTTAGACAGTCTACAATTGGAATCGGGAAGGGATGTGATAGCGAAACCCTAGTAATTCAGGCACAGCTGACAGCGCTACTTAAAGCCATAAGCCCCTTTCTCTGGAAATTAATGTAAATGTATTAAATGCATCTCAGCCCATTCTGAAACTTGGGTGGATTTCATAATCCCCGTTTATCCTGACACGTGGTTAGTTCTGTAGTTGGAAAATGCTACTTCGCCGTCCTTTCGAAGTTGTAAACATCAACATTTACCATAAGTTTTCGTGACTTTGATCAATCCTGACTATATAGTTAAATATACAAGTGTAAAGGGGTGAGGCGGTAATAGAGATGATCGATTCGACTTTTCTCAATAGCAGATTTCGATTGGCTACCAGAATGTATCCATATTGAACAGTCTGAGGGCTGCAGCTGTTAAATAAATCGACCATCTCCCCCAGCTCTGCCACCAGCACCCAACCGGCTCCTCCTGGGCATTGAAAACCTGTAGTAAACTCTTACTGGGCACATTCCTGTGGGCGTCATTGCACAGTCTCCCACCTCCACCCAATCATATAAACAGTCTTTATCCATTAACTCAAACGGAATGACATCTTATAGATGAGAGTGTTCAGAGAAAACTAATAAAGAAATGACAATGCCCCGGGTTCCTCCTGCTCACAAGAAATCCAACTGGAACGTTCAAAGAGAACTTGAGAGCAAGAACAGCAGTACCCACACCTGCTCCCCACCTCCCAACCCCGCCGCAAGCCCTCGCAGCCAAATAAAAGTAGAGTACATCTTCCCTTCAGCCACCAGCTGATAGAAACTAGAGTGAGGATGGTTTTCTACCTAATCAGTTAGATGCGATGCAGCTGGCAGAGTTCCAATCTCAAATATTTCAATCATACGTAGAACATCAAAGGCTACAGAACAGCCTTTCAGCCCATCATATCTATGCTGACCAGGATGCCATTCTAAACCAATCCCATCTGCCTGCACATGGTCTGTATCCCTCTATTCATTGACTGTCCATGTATACGTCTAAAGGCCTCTTAAATGTTGCTATCATATCTGCTTCTACTACCTACCTGGGCAGCACCACTCTGTGTCCTACCATCCTCTGTGTAAAAACTTACCTCGCACATCTCCTTTAAACTTTCTTTTTCTCGCCTTAAACCTATGCCCTCTAGTATTTGACATTTCCACTCTGGGATAAAGACTCCGACTATTGACCCTGTCCATGTCCCTCATAATTTTGTATACTTCTGTCAGGTTACCTCTCATCTTCTGATGCTCTGGCTAAAACAATATGTTTCTCCAACCTCTCCTTATAGCTAAAACACTTCAATCCAGGCAACATCCTACTAAGCCTCTTTTGCACTCTCTCCAAAGCCACCACATCCTTGGTTACAGCTGCTTGGTTGCAGGAATTGAGTTGGTCCATCAGGCGGACGTGGGCCATGCCAACTTCTGGTGTAATAATGTCTTCATAAGGCCAATAGTGTATTGATAAGTCTCAATATCATATTGTCCTTGAGTGTTCCAGTCTTACATCCTGCAGGAGATGGCACAACTTGACATCAGTTTCTCTGCTGATCCAAATCCTGCACACAATTCTTTCACACAAACCCACTGTGTAGTGGGATAAGGTCTGCAAAATGGTTTCTGAGGTTTTAGCAGAAATCTGGCAGTGTTTTTGGTGCTTGCCCAGCTTGGTATATGACATTTCATGTTGTGACATGGAACCCAAAATTAATGATGATTGGCAACATTTGAGAAATTTAGTCAGGCATTCACATTATCTTATTGATGCATTCGGTACCACTTCTGCCAGAGTGTTAGAGGTGTCAGGTGAACATATTCGTGATGGCAGATAGGAACAGATTATTTTTAAACAAAGCATGGACTGTCCTGTACATCTTTGTAGATTATTTACAGTAATGGATATACTTATTTTGCCCTTTCTCTATTACATTCACAAATACTCTTTATCAAATATTATTTGGCCAACCTTACAAAAGCTACTTGATGCGGTGATATCACACCTTCCCCTTGCCATTCAATTTGATTATACCTTCCACGTCCTAGGGGGAAAAATCTTTCCCCATTCTTAATCAAGATCTAAATCCAAGCACTGATTTACGGAGAAGTAGTTATCTGTGCTTTTCCTGTTCCAAAACCTCTCATCATTCTGAATGATACGACAGGCTGGGTTTTCCACATGTGCACAAGCACAAATAAATTTCAGCTGTCCCCATTCTGCTGGGCATCCCTGTGTTCACATGCCATCTGAAGATCAGAGGTTGTAATGATCTGTCAGTCAGATCCCAACGCCATTTTGCATTCAGCATCAGTTGCTTGCCAACTTATGTCTGCATCTTGGATTTTATTCTCCTTTCATCTTCTGCCCTCTTCTAAATCTCCTGGCCTTCATAAAAGTTGCCCTGGACGTTTTTGAAATGATTGCTAAAGACTTTCTAAATTTAAGTTCTCTATAGTGTTCCCTTTATTTGAACTATATCAGTGATCTTAAAATTAACTAGATGACAATTTTCTTCTCCCCCATTAATCTACTGCCCAGTTGTGCTGATGAGCCATCATAAGTAAATTGGATATAAGCATCCCACTTTGATTTTGCTCATTGACTATAATACTTACCTGTAGCTAGTTAAAAACCAATGGCTCCCAATTTTTTTTGTCGGGGAAGGTGTGATGCTCTTGTGGCACAGCGGTGATGTCATATTCTCTGAACCAGAAGGCCTGGGTTCATGTCACACCTACTGCATAGGTCTGTCAGAACCTCTGAACAGGATGATTAGAAACAAATATCCCAATTACACAAGGTACATTTGTATATGTTGTTCAAGATGCATCACTGACATCTGGTGGCTTCAGAAGAGCATACATCAGTATACTGTAATTAAAAGAGTCAGAGTCATACAGCATGGAAACAGCGCAACTAATCTGTGACAACCAGACATCCCAATCTGACCTAAGCCCATTTGCCAGCATTTGACACATGTCCCTCTAAAACTTTCCTATTCATATACCCATCCAGATGCCTTTTAAATGTTGTAATTGTACCTGCCTCCATCACCTCCTCTGGCAGTTTATTCCATACACACACCACCCTCTGCATGAAAATGTTACTCCTCAGGTCCTTTTTACACCTTTCCCCTCTCACCTTAAACCTACATCCTCTAGGGTTTGGACACCCCCAACCAAGGAAAAAGACCTTGGCTATTCACCCTACCTATGCCCCGCACAATTTTATAAAACTCTCTAAGGTCACCCCTCAGCCTCCATTGCTCCAGGGGAATAAAAGTCCCAGCCTATTCAGCCTTCCCCTATAACTCCAACCCTCCAGTCCCAGCAATATTCTTATATATCTTTTTTGCACCCTCTCAAGTTTAACACCATCCTTCCTATAGAAGGCTGAACATTGTATCCTGAAAATGTCCTGTACAACCACAACATGATGTCCCAACTCCTATATTCAATGTTCTGTCCAATGAAGGCAACCAAAACAAAAGCCTTTTTCACCTGCAACTTCACATTCAAAGAACTATGCACCTGCACCCCTATGTCTCACCAGGGCCCCACCATTAATTGTACACGTCCTGCCCTGGTTTACCTTACCAAAATGCAGCACCTCAAATTTATCTAAACTCCATTTGCCATTCATCGGCCCATCAGCCCAACTGATCAAGGTCCCATTGCACTTTGAGGTAGCCTTCTTCTCCAATTGTGGTGTCATCTGCAATATTAGCACTGCTGCCTCACAGCGCCAGGGACCTGGGTTCAATTCGACCCTCAGGCAACTGTGTGGAGTTTGCACATTCTCCCCGTGTCTGTGTGGGTTTCCTCCCACAGTCCAAAGACGTGCATGCTAGGTGGATTGGCTATGCTAAAAATTGCCTGTAGTGTTCAGGGATGTGTGGATTATGTGGGTTATAGGGGGATGAGTTTGGGTGGGTGCTCTGAGGGTCTGAGTGGACTTGCTGAGCCAAAGGGCCTGTTTCCAGACTGTAGGGATTCTATGTCAGTGTCTATGTCTATGTCATTACTACCATACATCCTATATTGGCATCCAAATTATTTAAATAAATGATAAAAAGCAGTGGACCCAACACCAATCCTTGTGGCATACTGCTGGTGACAGACCTCCAGTCCGAAAAGCAATGCTCTACCACCACCTTCTGTCTCCTGGTGGGAGTCTTCTCCCCATTAATTACTCTATTGGAGATGTCCCTGTAATTGCATGAGAGGTGGTCCTATAATCAAATAGGAACTGGGATATTTGGTATCTAGTGAAGCTGTAGGCTATTTCTTCAAGCCTGCCTTCAAAGTTTGGACTGCTCTTTCTGCCAGACCATTGGATGAAGGGTGGTATAGAGCTGTCCTGATATGTCAAATCCCATTCGACTTCAGGAAATACTCAAACTCCCTGCTGATAAATGATAGCCCGTTATCTGTCACCAACACTTCCAGGAGTCCATGTATTAG